ATGGAAGCTGCGGTCTCTCTATGGGCGGGGTCTGGCTGTGGAAGCTGCGATCTCTCTATGGGCGGGGGCCGGCTATGGAAGCTGTGGTCTCTCTATGGGCAGGGGCCGGCTGTGGAAGCTGCGGTCTCTCTATGGGCGGGGCCGGCTGTGGAAGCTGCGGTCTCTTTTGGGGCGGGGTCTGGCTATGGAAGCTGTGATCTCCCTGGGCAGGGGCCTGCTCTGGAAGCAGCAGCTCCCTGGGTGGGGCGATGGGAACTTACCCCTGGCTGCGAGGCAGTGCTGCGGTAACGCAGGTCCCTCTGCTCCCGCTCCTGCTGGTTGAGGGTGCTGAGCAGACTCTGCAGGCGCTCGATGTACTGGATGGCGCTGCGCAGGATCTCCACCTTGGGCAGCCGTTGGTTGGGGTTCAGTAACGTGCTCCGTTTCAGGGCCTCGAAGGCCTCATTCACCTTTTTTAACCTCCGCTTCTCCCGCAGGGTGGCGGCGCGGCGCCGGTCGATGGAGACCGTTTTCCTCTTGCAGATCTTGCACGCCCAGGGCAGACACTGGCCGGGGCAGTGCTCAGGCAGGGGCGAGCCCTTCTCCTCCAGCCCTGTCCTGCCCTCCGGACACAGCCCCAGGCCCGGCCGCTCCTGGTACACCCCCTGCTCGTAGCCCTGCAGACGGGAGCTCAAATAGTTTTCGCCATCATAAAATCTCTGGTCTGGAAAGAAGTAAGGGCTGGTCTCGAAGAGCTCCATGGGCAAGCGGCTGGCGGGGAGCAGCCTCCTCAGAGTGTGTGGCTGAGCAGCGGCTGCTCTGTCTCCTAACACCAACTGTTTGGTGGCATTTAAACCCTGGCGCTGGCATTAAATCACAGAGATAAATATAGAAAAACCTAAAGGAAACCTGAGCCTGCCCTAAGCTGCTGCCTCACATCAAAACTTGTCCATCTGATTTCATGTGCTCTCCCTGCGGGGATTAGGCTGCCCGGGGCTGTGCTGCGTCTGGGGGGGGAACGGGGGGCTGGCATGTGTTGGACAGCGGCTCGGCCACCTCGCAAACAACGGCCTTGTTTGAGTCCTTCTCATTTCTTCTCTTTCCAGCGATATTGATGATCAGGCTGCACCCAGGGCTGGCAGCTCCACACTGCATTCCTGCATCATCTGCTGCCTTCAGTTACTGCTCCAGGCCAGGGCCAGGGCCAGGGCCAGGGCCTCACAGCACGGCCCAGGGCTGGGCCCAGCCTGCACTGAGGAGAAAGGCCAGCTCAGCTCCCAGCTCTGACAGGGGCAGGCCCTCGAGGTGTCCCTCACACACCAGGCCCTGCCTGCACTGCCCCATGGCACAGGCTTGTACTGCCTCTCCCCTCACACCCCACACTCTGCCTTGAGCCTCACACTCTGCCCCTCCCCTCATTGCCCACCCCACCCTTCCCTTCCCTTCACGCCCCACTCTGCCCCACCCCTCACATCCTGCCCAACTCTGCCCCTCTGCTCATGCTAAACCCTTCCCTTCCCCTCACGCCCCACTCTGCCTGGAGCCTCACACACTCTGCCCCTCCCCTCACATCCTGCCTCACTCTGCCCCTCATCCATCCATCCATCCCCCTACACACCTATCCCTCCCTCCTCACACTCACCCATCCATCCCTCCCTCCCCCTACACATCCATCCATCCATCCCCTTCCACACTCATCCATCCATCCCTGCCAATACTCATCCATACCTCCATCCCCATACACACTTATCCATCCAGTCCCCTACACACCCATCCCTCCCTCCTCTCACTCATCCGTCCATCCATCCCTCCATCCCCCTACACACCCATCCCTCCCTCCTCACACCCATCCATCCATCCATCCCTGCCAATACGCATCCCTCCCTCTAGCCCCATACACACTTATCCAGCCAGCTCCTTATATACCCACCCCTTCCTCAGACTCATCCATCCATCCCCCTACACACCCATCCCTCCCTCCTCACACTCATCCATCCATCCCTGCCAATACTCATCCCTCTCTCTAGCCCCATACACACTTATCCAGCCAGCTCCCTATAAACCCATCCCTCCCTCCTCACATTCATCCATCCATCCATCCATCCCTGCCAATACTCATCCCTCCCTCCATCCCCATACATACTTATCCAGCCAGCTCCCTATACACCCATCCCTCCCTCCCCCTACACACCAATCCATCCCTCCTCACACTCATCTGTCCATCCATCCCTCCCTCCCCCTACACACCAATCCATCCATCTCCATACACATCCATCCATCCATCCACCCCTACCCATGGTCATCCATCCAGCCAGCCCCCTACACATCCTTCCATCCATCCCCACAATTGCCCAGCCCTTCCCGCAGTGGTCCCCAAACTCTCCATCCTCCCCATTATATTGCTCCCAGCAGAAACCCTAGGAAACAGGCCAGTCCCCAAGGTGCTGGAGATTAGTCAGTGTCCTGTGGTTTATTATTAAGCATTTGTATTGTGGTAGCACCTAAAGGCCACAACCAAGTTGGGCCTCACTGTGCTAGGCGCTGTAGAAACATATAATGAAAAATAGTCCGTGCCCCAGTCAGTATTCGTGCAGAGCAGCCAGGAATCCAGCTTTAAGGCTAGATTTTCCAAAGAGCTCAGCAGGCTGGCTCCAGAACTCTTTTGGGAATCTGGCCCCACATCAGGGCACGAATCTCAGTGTATCCCCTGGGAAGGGTGAAAAGCAAAGCGAACAGTTGTTCCAAGGAGGTAGAGATTTTGTGCTGGATGTTTACAGTGGTAAGCGATCCCCTCCAACAGAGGTGAGCATCTTATTGATACTAACACTTCCTCCTCCTCTACCATCTCAAACAACTGGGCAGACGTTAACTAAGGGAGCTTCTCCACTCCCCTGTGTGCCCCCAATTTGCAAACTGGGAAACTGAGTCACTGGGAAACTGAGTCACTGTGTGCAAACAGCAGTGCCAGGATTTTAACCCGCGTCCTAGCTCCTAGCCACCTGCTCTGGCCACATCCCTCCATCTTTGTCTTTAGTGTTGATTATTTTTGCATTAGGAACGTAAAAAACTTCCAACCATCTCCTCCAATTCGGGGAGAGCCATTCTCCTGCTCCAGGCCAAATACCAGCTGCGGGATTGGTCAGTGGAAAGAATGTCAGCGAAGGGAAGGGCAAAATGCGATCGTATTTTCCTTCCCCAAATCCCCACCCGCAGTGGGAGGAACTTGCAGTTTAACATTCACTTCTTAACCCCTATGCTTAAACTCTCAGTGACTTCAGGCCGACCTTGAGCATATTTAGAATCTGCTGCTGGTACAGGCAGAAATCAAAGCTGCCAGCAGTTTGTCTCTAAGGACTGGCCCCTTTCCGGTGTCCCTTACTGATCTGCGACCACTGGAAAAGTGGCACCCATTCAACTTCTAAAAGGAGGCAGAGTGTCATGAGCCGGAGGATGGGATTGTGGCCCTTCCCAGTCCAGATACTCCCCATTGGCATGTGAGATTTTCCATTACCAGATAGGCACAAAGGTCACAGAAGGCCCCCATAGGCTGGTCCAACTCCCCAACTCCGTGAGTGTGTTCTTCTGACCTCTGAAGTGTGCTTACCCCCTACCCAACCCCACCCCAAGTGTGCTATCCACTACGCCATCCCCTCCGTAGGATTGGAGCACCCTACAGGATTTAGGACAATTTTGTCTGATCCCTTCCCGGCTCACTGTCCCAGCAGCTGCAGTCCATTTGAGCCTTGTCTGAGTCTGACCCAGACCAAACCCTCTGCCAGCATCACCCCCGATGGTGATTGCTGTTGGTGGAAGCCTTTAAAACTTTGCTCACAACAGTATGGGGAACTGGCAGAAACACAAAGGCCTTTAGATAAGGTGCTGAAAACAGCAGGCCCTATGTCTGGGCGATTCGTAATCCAATCCCCCTTGCTCTGAGGGCTAAACCTCTGTCTGCCAAGGAAGTGTGGAAGTGTCGTAGCATCTGAGGTTTCATGGCAAATAGTTACACAAACTATAAAACTGTTGGAAGAACAACAGTGACACACAGTATGGGCTTCATGCTCCACGTAGCTCTGGCATCATCTCTGCCCTGGTAGGGTTAAGGATGAGAATTCTTTAAATATATCCGGAACAAAAGCAATCCCAGCAGCGGTGTAGGTCCATTATGAGATAGAAGTGATACAATGGACAGGAATGAATCAGAAAAGGCAGACGTGTTCTGCAAATACTTCTGTTCTGTGTTTGGAAAGAAGCTGATGATGTATTCACAGCTTACAGTGATAATGAAATACTCTCCATTCCAACACTAACTAGGGAAGATGCTAAGCAGTATCTACTGAAGTTAAACATTTTTAATCTGCAGGGCCAGATAACTTGCACTCAACTGTAATAGAAGAATTAGCCTTCGAGCTCTCCGAGCCATTGATACTGATGTTGAAAAGAGCTCTTTGGACCATGGATGTGGATTTCTAATGAATCTTGGAATACTGGGGAAATTCCAGTAGATTTGGATCCAGGTTAGTCTGACTTTGATCCTAGGCAAAATCACGGAATGGCTGATATGAGATGCAATCATTAAAAGAATTAATGGATGGCAGCATAATTACTGTCAATCAATGTGGTTTCATGGAAAATAGGTCTTGTCGAACTAGCTTGATATTGTTTTTGATGTGATTACAAGTTTGGTTGATAAAGAAAATTTGCATTGACATAATATACTTAAACTTCTATAAGGAATGTGACTGTTCCACACACAGCATGCTACTAACACCCTAATTAAAAAAATTAGCAGTCTACAAAATCAAAGTAGCACGTATTAAATTGACTAAAACCTGGCTAACTGATAGATCTCACAAGGATTTGTTCTTGGCACAGTGCTATTCACTACCAACGGTCTGGAAGAAAATATAAAAACTTTGGTAAACTGATGGAGTGGTAAATAATGACAAGGACTGGTCAGTAATACAGAGCAATTTGGATTATTTGGTAAACTGCGCTCATCTGAACAGTATGAATCCTAATATTGCAAAATGCAAGGTCATACATCTAGGAATAACCTGGCCTCTGTAGGTCACACTTACAGGATGGGGAACAGTTCCCTAGAATGCAGTGATTCCGAGAAGGACTTAAGAGGTTATGGTGGAAATCAATTGAACATGAGCTCGCAATGCAATGCTATGGTTAATAGAGCTAATATGACCCTTGGATATATAAGCAGATGAATATCAAATAGGAGTAAGGAAATGGTATTTTATATAGTATTGCAGAGACCATTACTAGTATACTGTGTCCAGTTCTGGTGTCCACATTTTTTAAAAGGGTATTGAAAAACTGGAGAAGCTTCAGAAAAGATTTACAAGAATGATTCAAGGTCTTGTAGCAAGAGACTGAAGAAGCTCAATTTATTTACTTTATTAAAGGGAAGGTTAAGAGGTGACATGATCGTGCTCTATAATATCCTACATAGGGAGAAGATTTCCAGAGGGGTCTTTAATCGAGCAGACAATGACAAAATAGAGGAGCTGAAGACTTCTTGGACAACCAGATTTGGGAAGCATATTATCCTGGATTCAAGTAAGACATGAACTGGCCACCAAGGAATCTGAGAGAGATAAGAACATAAGAACAGCCATACTGGGTCAGACCAAAGGTCCATTTAACCCAGTATCCTGTCTTCCGACAGTGGCCAATGCCAGGTGCCTCAGCAGGAATGAACAGAACAGGTAATCATCAAGTGATCCATTTCCCTGTCGCTCATTCCCAGCTTCTGGCAAACAGAGTCTAGGGACACCATTCCTGCCTATCCTGGCTACTGGTTCATTTTTGAACCTTGTTATAGTCTTGGCCTTCACAACATCCTCTGGCAAGGCGTTCC